GTAGATGAGCAGCACATTAGCAAGTCTCCAGTCATTTGTGGCCTCCCCACTTGACCAATACTGCTGATAAAAAATGGAAAGCAGCTTGGCAATCATACCCTCAGCACCCTCGTGTGGGTCCCAAAGGTTCCCTGTTCAGCCAGGACATTCTTCTTCCCTAATAGCTCATCTTAGAGCATAGGGTGACAGCCTGCTTGGATGGTCTATAACAGACCCCCAGAATGTCATCCTTGTTGGCCTTCCCCCTGATCCCCGTAAGAACTCAACATCATCATTCCCAGCATTGAGCTCTACAACATCAAAACACTTCCTAACACAGACAGCCACGCCACTGTCCTTCCTTCCTTGCCAGTCCCTCCTGAAGAGCTTACCTTGTACAGAAAGACTTGGTGACTGGAAATTGGACTGATTCAAATTATGGCTGAGATGCTGTTCATATGGAAGAGGTCATTAGTTTTCTCAGGACAATGGTCCATTCATCACCACTCTTCAGCTTCCCATGGGCACCTCTATTCACCACCAGACCCAGACCTCATGGAGGCTATGGGGCCACTTCTTCAGGTTTCACTGTGGGAGACACCACTTTGGTAGACTGTAATGTTATATGGCACCTTTTCCACTCTAAGAGGACTTCTTGACCCTCTCTTGATTTATTTGCTTACTTTCCAGCTTTTATGTTTCAATCTTCTTTCGTATCTGCAGGTGTTAGAATCTAACACTCCAACACAGCCATCTGGCTCTAGGAGCTGGGACACTAGGACTTTCAACTGGTAACATGAAAGTATGAAATCCAGAATATATCTTGTTTTTTCTTTTTAGTTTTAGTTTTTTATGTCCTCTTCGTGTCTATGATTCTTAACATTCGCACAGTCCCAAAATGTTTGCACTGATAAGTAATAGCTTAGGAAGTCAGTTTCTTAGACAGAAATAGCATTTTCTGCTGGGGCAGTCCCCCAGAGTCAGCAATCCTACTGCAGTGCAGTAATTCAGACTGCACACCTCCTCTGTGGCTCCCCAGAGCACAGCAGTTTAGCACACAGCCAGCTTTAAGGAGCACCTATCTAACTAGGGCAGCCAGGGGATGCAGGAGCCAAGTGAGAGAACAAGATATTTCATTGAATCATTGAGATTCACATCAACCTCTTCTGCCTCGGAGCAGTGAAGTCAGCAGAGTGATGTTTGCATCAAAGAAGAAAACAAGACCATGTCTGCTCCCCAGTTTGTACCTTGTTCTTCATCTTTCTGTTTTCTCTCTCTTTGGTGCCATGAGTTTCTGCTGGGCTGGTAGCAGCTCTTGCTCTTGGTGGGCAGGTTGGTATCAGACATGTTGTACTCAACTCCTGCCATTCTCAAGCTGGCTGTTGATTAAGTTGTTAGAGCCTCCCCTTTTATCAGAGTACGTCAGACCCATGCCAGGGTCCCCCCTCAGGAGAAAAGATAATTTTCTGGCAGCATCAGAATGGAAAGACACAGGATATCCCATCTTACAGCATCTAGGGTAAAGCCTCCTCAGCCTTGTGAGGCTTGTAACAGGATGGAACTGAGGCCCTCCAGATGTTTGTGCCTAGGATTGCATCCAGCTGGTCTGTGCAGAACGCCCACAAAGAAAGGAGAGAGCTCTAACTTGTATGGGGAAACTTGCACAACGTACTGGGGCTGCAGCTGGAAGCAGATTGTGCTCAACCCTTTCTCTTTCCCCTTACAGCTCACAGAGAGGAGTAATTGGTTGCAAATGTTGTTACTCTCTCCCAAGCCCACCACTGATTCACTGTGGGCCACATCTACCCCGCAGGCCTGCTGAGACAGCTGTAGCGAAAGTGCTTTCCTGGGTTACTTTGCATGCTATAGCTCTGCTATAGAGCAACCCATATCTCACCCTAATTCTTAGGTTTGCTGCCTGGAAAGTGGGAAATATTCCTTTTTCCCTGCCTCCCAGAGGTGCTACAGTTCTTTCCACTGCAACCCTTTTATGCCTGCAAGCTGTTAAGTTGGGATGCGCCACAAATATTAGATGGGCCACAAATCTCTTCTAGTTAATTTTTTGAAATGCATTTCCTTTCACTTTTATTCTCAGTTATCAGTGATGTGCATAACTACATGGAGCTATTTTCAAATATCCAAAGGTCAGCAGGCAACGATGGCATTTTGATACTAGGTCATGCTATTTGGGAAGCAGAAAGAAGGCTGCATATCCCTAAAACACCAGGGCTCTTGACAAATAGGGATGTAAGGGCTTGGCCTAATTTCTCTGATGACATCTCAGTCCCAGGGACTTCTGCAAGCTCTGAGTCTCAGACAGCCTGGAGGAAGATGGACCAGGTGGCCTTGCATGAGCAACCAAGAGCTGGATGTGTTTTCTTTGGGTGGAAACATTTGTCTGGAGCTGCTGGAAGGTCACCAATGCATTCCCATCATCCAGAAAGTGCCTCGGAGCCCAGCATCAGGAGCCATGTTCCATTTCCAGCTTGGCTGACTATTTCTGCAAGCCCTCTTGCAACTCCTGTGCCTCACGGCAGGCACAGCTTTGCAAGGGAGAAGAAAACAGGCAGCACACAGGGAGCCTCACTGCTCCCAGCTGGCAGCTGGCTCCCCAGGGGGCACAAAGGGCTTTTTCACACCCTGCATAAACAAGTGAGGGCTGCAAAAGGCTGTTATCGAAGAGCATCAGTTCCAGCAGCAGCTCAGCCCGAGACTCCCTAGGCTCACCTCACCTTGGAAGTGAGGGCAAACACAATCTCACTTCAACTTCTGCTGCAGATCTGACGATGAATACTTTGCAGTGATTATTAATAACGAGAAGAGCACTTCGCTAATTCATAGTTGGTTCTGCGTGAGGAAGGCGTTAAGTGCTAACAGTTACTGTTTCTGTCAGGGACACCAACGCTGAATAAAATAGGAGTCATTAAAAACAATGTTGCAACAAAGCATAGAAGTACCCTCAAGGGGAACAACTGACACACGTGATAACCCTCTTTGCTTTCTATTCAATAGAGGCAGATCGGATTCCTTGAAGGTATAAGCTGTAATAAGAAAACTTGCTGGAATAAAAACCAAACAAATACATAACAGCACAAAAAACACAGAAGTTCTCAAGGAGGCCTGGTGACCAAATCTGTCCTAACACTGAACATCACATGACTCCAAGCCCTTTCAATTTGTGCCAGTCCTCATTTCTTTGCACTGGCACTGTGGTTCCAAGCAGATTCTGCCAGACATGAGAATAAGGCCATGAGAACTCCCTTTGGTGACAAAAGCACGACCTGACTACCTGGTAGCTTTCCCATGGAGCTGCTGCTCAGGTAGGGAGCGGTGCATACAGGCTCCTTCCTCCACATCAAGTCACGTAGGAGACACTGGGCAATCAAGCTCTCCAGCAGCCAACATGCAGTTCCACCTGGCTGAGTAATGGCTGCTTACTGTAACAACACTTTCTGATGAAAAAGCTAACTTCTGGAGATGTTTATTTATGTCAATAACCGAAAAAGTGCTGGTTGCTCTGAATTTCTGTATTTTCTTGTTTTGATTTACTGTCCCTTCCCTCTGCCCCATCCATTATGTGTGGGACACCTGATCTCCATCGCTGCCATCACGGAGCAAGACTCTGATGAGGATGCAAAAAAGTTTTTTGTTATTAAATAAACAGAAAAGGGCCCATCACATGATGATGGTTGGTATTTTGCAAATTAAGCTCTTTTCCTCATTTTGGGGGCAAAGGGCAGTATGGCCAAATCTCCATATAGACTGGATTTTCCACATCTTCGGTGCTGTTGAGGAGTTCCAGTTTTAGCTGAAAAGGAAGGATTGAGCTTCCTGGCAGCTGGCAGACAGCTCAGAGCCGTTTGTATAGCACCAGCAGGGATTCATCCCTGCAGGGATTTGTTCTGCACATTCTTGCTCTGGCTGCTCAGCTCCACAGGGGGAGCTCTCTCAGCCATGCACTATGAAACCATGCTGAGAGTATTTAAATGCACATGGTCACCCACCAAATTTTTGACCCAAATTCACTTTTAACGTTTAAATTTCCTTTTAGGATATGAGAGAACCTGACCCACTGAACAGCAATTGTTCCACCGGGTGACCTGAAAGGTAAAACCAGGCAGCAACTCAAGGACTCAAGACTGCGTCCACACCACATCTTTTTAGCAACACAGCTGTGCAAATCTTTTTCCTGCGACCGTTCCCCAGAAATCCTGCACCGCAGCAGCAAGGTGTGGCACCCTCTTAGCAGCACGGCACGGCGACAGAGGGCCAAAGGCAAAAACTCTGTAAAGGGAATCCGTGCAATCAGAGAACACGCCTTCTGTTTGTAAGCGAATGCCACCGCCTCACGCTTTGCTCTGGTGCGGCGCTTTATCCCTGAGGGGTTCTCGCTATTTACCCAGCTTTACAGGGCCGTAGCTCCCGGAGGGCGCTGCTCGGCGGACACCCCGGTACGGGGCTCGGGCGGACACCGGGCCGACCCGCAGCCGCACCGCGCTCCGTACGAGCGCTGCCCGCGCTAGGAGCAGGCGTCCGGGCTGTGCCAGGCCCCGCAGCGCGCTCCGGGAGCGGTCACGCCTCTGGGAGCCGCAGCGCTCGCCCCAGACTTCCTGCTCGAGGGAGCCTGAGCTCCCCTGCCGAGCGGGGACGCGCAGCTCCGGGCTGCGGACCCCGGCGGGCTCCGGAGGACTCTGAAGAGACGCGAAGGAGCGGAGCGCCGCAGCCGCGCGGGCTGAGCCGCACCGGGCGGGGTTAAGGCAGCGCAGCGGCAGCTGCCGGGGCTCACTCGAGAGCGCGGCTCCTCCCGCACGGTCCCAGCGGCAGTTCTGCTCGAGGCGGCGGACTCCAGGCAGGGCCGAGCCCCGCACCACGTAGCCGCCCGCCCGTGCGGGGCTTCCGCAGCGCGGAGCCGAGCGGCCCGGCCGGGGGCGGCTCCCTGCGGGCGGGGGCGGGAGCGCGGCAGCGCGGGGCCGTTCCCTCCGCAGCGCCGCGGCCCGCCCCGCGCTGCGCTCCCGCCGCACGGCGGGCTGGCGGCTGGCGGCGGTCGCTGCGGCGTGGGGCCGCGCCCCGGAGGAGGTCGGCGGCGGCGGAACGGGCCCAGGTGAGCGCCCGCGCGGGGCCGGGACGCGGGGCACGGCCGGAGCACGGCGGCCCCAGGTGCGTTTGGCCGCAGAGAGCGGCGGGCGGGGCGGGGCAGGGCAGGCCCGCCTCGCCGGGCCGCAGAGAAGCGACTGCGGCTCTCCCTTCCTCGGTGCGCCGGGAGCGGCGAGCAGCGCTTCTCGCCGCCGCCGTTTCTGGGCGCGGGGCCGGGAGCGCCGCGTTCCTGGCCGCAGCGGCGCGAGCGGGGCGCGGTGAAGCAGCAGCCCGGCCGTGCAGCCGGACCGGCACAGCCCGGGGATCCGCCGGCCCCGCGGCCCGCCCGGCGCTGCGGATTGCGGTAACTGCGTGTAACCACGGGGCTGTGATTTCAGAGAGACGATTTACATTAGCGGGAGAATGTGCAGAGAGCCAGGAACAACTTGGACCGGGTCCTCGCATATTTCTGTGGTTATTTTTGGAGTATGGTCATATGGCAGGAGGTGGGCTCTGGAGGTATCCTCCAGCTCAGCGTTTTCTCCACAGACCGGTTACCCGGGTGATCGTATTAGGGCTACGCGGGTCCCCTCTATCAGTGCTTTCCGTATGAAGCACTCTTCCTACTGCTGCTTCTGCAGTAGTATTGTTCCGCTCTGTGCTTAGCCATGCGTTGCGGTGGGGACCCTTCTGAGGACAAACAATGGTCGGGTACGTGTTATGGAGTATTTGCAGCGCTGCAGGAGCGGGCGGTGGAAGTGCTCTGTTATTGGGCTGCAGGCGGTGTGAGGTGACTCCTGATGAGTTCTCTCCTTGCTGACATGCCCTGAGAGGTGTGGCTTTCTCAGCACACCTAGAGACCAGCCTGCTCGTCAGTTCCTTCCCCTGTGGTCTTCTCACGTTTGGCTCGTCCAAAGGGGCTCTTACATCCAAACAACTGGAGATGTGGGAAGCGTGTTGTGACCAAGGTCTAATCTCTCGGAGATGCCTTGCAGCTCTCTGCCTCCTCCGCTGCCCACTGCTCGTTTGTGGATGTCCTTTGGCTGCCATGGCTGGGGATCTGCACTCATGGCCTTCAGCAGCCTGCCTGCCCGTGTTGCCTTCAAGCAAGTTTGGAGCTTAGGGAAGGCTGGGTTTGAGTGGTGATCCTGACAAGAAGACAATTACTGTTTAATTGTCTTTTTTGGCTTCTGGTTTGGCAGCGTGGAGCCTGTCTGCAGGTCTCCCCGGGTGCTTAGAGCCCTGCTGTTAGTGAGGACACCAGACTCACAGGGTGTGTTCTGTGAGTTGTGCCAGACCCTGATTATTGTAGCACATGGAAGTCTAGAATCACCCTCTTTCTCCCAACTTATCCTTTATGCGAGGACAAGCCCCAAATTGACTGTTGAATAATCAGCCTGTATGTGTCCCCAGGGGACGTGAGCTGCCTCCTCTGCTTGCAGCCACTGCTGGGAGCAGTGAGCATCTCCTCGCAACCACTGTGCCATGTTTACTGCTTTAACAGCAACTTCAGATGGTAGTGGGGCCATTAAAGCAGACACTGCTGCATGTAGCAGAGCCCTAGTTGTGACAACAGCCTTGTGAGGTGCCCAAGTATGATGGACAGCCAGGAGGGGGTCTGGATTGGCTGAAGAAGGCTGTGGTATTTCTGCGATATGGAATGGAAAAAAATTTCAGAATCAGTTTTCCTCCCCACGGCAGCTGATTTCTCTTTTTGGCTCCGAGCAATGACTTTGATCCAAATGAGGAGATCACCTTGATTTACACAGTAACCTTTTCTTCTAGCAGTCCTGTAAATGACTGAAATGTCTGTTCCTTGCTCTAATGCTGCAGAATAGTCATGCATAGCTAGAGGAGGTTTTCGTAGATGGACAGACTAGTCAGGTTGCTGGCTAATTTTGTTCCTTAAAAAAAAAAAGTTTCATGTTGATAGTCATGATTTCTAAATGATGGAAGTCAATGGAGAATGGCCTGCTGGTTAAAGTGCAGGAGGTGGGCTTGGCTGTGTTCAGGATTGCTCTGGATTTCCTGTCTGTTCTCACAGGCTTTGCAGGAGTGTCTCTTGCCTTAATTTTGTTCAGCTATTTCCCCACTACTTTGGGCACAGTGATATGCTGCCTGAGCAACAGCTGAGATACTGATGGTGCAGCATGTGTGAGGAGATGGGTTGAGTTTGGGCTTAGGTTTGGTGGCAGATCAGTGTGGGCGTCTGGAAGGCCTGTGTTTAGCTATATTGTAGACTTTCATGCGGTGCCTGTCACTTGGAGGCCTGAGCCTATTCTGAAGCTCTGTTTTGAGAGTATATGCAAAAAAAGAAACACAAAATAGTGGAGATTACCAAGCTTGGTGGTTGAAAGCTCCTGCATGGAAAGACTTGTGCAGTTACAGATACGTGACTCTCATACAGCACGTAAAATTTGCTTGCACTGGGGCTGTGACAGTGATGGCTGTGTGGTTTATTGTTCTCACTAGAGAAGTCAGATAGCACTGAGTCAGCAGGTTTGGATTTGTCACAGCTGTGGTGATTGTGCTGGAAGACCTGTGAGGTTTGGCAGTGCGAGGTGAAGGGACTGGCCTGTGCTGCAGCCATGCTGGGGTTTGAGCTTGGACTCGGGCCTGCTGCCAGCTTGTGCTCTCCTTTGAGTCTGCATAAAGTGGTGGCATTGGTAGGGACTGATAGGCTTTGAGACCCCGCTCTGGTATTGTGAATTCATCTACTTTGTGTCATTTGGTTCTGTTAATTTGAATGCCAGTAACTCACAGTGGCGTAGCCTGCAGAATGAACACTTTCTCTCATGCGTCATTTTGTCTGGATTACAGGAGATGGGAACAACATTGGGAAGAGGTTGTCTTTGGTGAGCACATGTTGCAGTATTTACTTGTGTCTCCAGATCCATCTTTCCTCTTAGCCCTTGGGTGGAAGCCAATGGTTTGTCTAAGAAGAACTTCCTCTTCACATCTGGTCTAAATCTCCCCTCTTTCAGTTTAAAGCTGTTCCCCCTTGTCCTGTCACCATCTGCCTGTGTAAAAGGTCACTCTCCCTTCTGTTCAGAACCTTCCTTTAAATACTGGAGGTTGTCGTCAGGTTTTCCCCACAGCCTTCTCTTCTCCAGACTAAACAAGGCCAGCTCCCTCAGCCTGTCTTTGTAGGAGAGGTCCTTCAGCCCTCTGAGCATCAAAGAAATAGAAGATTTGGGCAGTTGTATCTATGCAGCTTGCCTGTCCCAGGTCCTGTGGGTGTCCCCCATCTTGGATGACAGTTGCTCCACCCTTCCCTTCTTTTCTCCAAGGAGGTGAATGGCTGTACAAAGAGCTGTTGGGCCCAGCTGTTATACAATTGGGGCAGAAGCCAAGGTTTGCTCTTCTTGCACCAGACAGAGGAACATGGGACTGTATGAAAAGGAAGCGTCATTTTAGAGCCCTCTTTGGTGATTTTGCCCTCTTGTCCCAGGACACAGCTTTTAAGGTACAGAAGGTGCTTTGAATTGAAGCTGAGAAGTAGTTAGTGCCTTGCACATAGTGTATGCATGTACGTCTACATACTCACGCACATCTCCCATCTGAGAAGGTAGGGGTAACAAGGCAGAGTCACAGAAAATAATGCTTTGGAAGAGCAGTTCCCTTCCATCTTTTACTGATGGTCTGTGCTTTGTCCTCCAAAGGGCACTACACTGTCATGTGGGCTCAGCAGTGTCTCAGACTGAATCTACCCCACTCAGTAGCCAATGGGTCTGGTGTGATCACAAAGAGGAGTCTGGGCTGACACCATTGTGCTCAAACCACGAGACAAATGTGGCTGAAGCTGCAGATCTGCAGTTTCCAGAAGGTCAGCAGTTTCATTTCGGCACTTGGCCTTTTTGTGGAGATGAAATTTGGTACTGCTTTAGTATTGGATCTGTTCCCATTTCAGAAGTCAGGCCTCTGCCCACCAGCTGTAACTGGACCCAGTGGTAATCATGTTGAGCTTCATCTTGCCAGTTTCCCAGTCTGGTCCAAAAGACAGACACTGCTTTCCATCCAGGCTATCAGAGACAGTCAAATCTGGCACCAGATTCCAGATGTTAGTATAAAATGCATCCCATGTGTGAGCAGATAGTGAATGGGGATTTACAGTATGGCATTTCTGCCAGGTTCCACCCACCTGACTCCTTCCAGCTATCTCACTGCCTGTGCCCCGCTTGCCGACTGGTAACAGAGCAGAAATGTGTATCCAGAAAGCTGGTATCCTTTGCTGTGTATCAGATGGAGAGGAAAACACAGGGTGGAGTCTTCTTTTGCACAAAGGAGAAAGTAACATTTCTGCCTTTGGTGGATTTTTAGGTGGCTGGGGGGAAATTAAATAGAATTTTATCACATTCATAGCCCTTTTCCCACCTCATTTTCCTGTGAATCTGTTGCTGTCATGGTATCTTTCAGAAGATATTTTTAGATTTGCATTTTTTTCTTTATTTTTCCGCTCATATCAGGCTTCTGAAGGGAAACACATTTTTATGGCAGAACAGAACGAGCCATTTCATGAGGCATTTTGTTATGGGCAGAAGAGACTGGAATCTGATTGTGTTTTTTAAATGACATTTTCCCTTTGTAATCAGCTCACTGTGCTTGTCATTGTGCTTGCACTGGTGAGCTGAGAGACAGCTAGGTGCATGCCCTGGCAGGCTGCTGCTGGGGAGGTTGGCCCTGCTCACCGTTCCTATGTTCAGCCACCTGGGAGCACTTCAGAACTATCATCCATGTGGGCAAACATGAAGGGGCAGCCCTGGGAGAAGTCCTGCAAGTGTTTCTCCCTAGCAGTCCTGGCAGGGATGCAGTACCCCTGTGTTTCAGAGAAGCAATTAAATCTTATTAGATGGACTATTGATTTGGCTGTGTCTCTGCTGGCAGGGGCTCCTGCTGAGCATTAGATGGCATGGTACCTGATGAAATATTGGATCTCCTCTTTGCCAGGGACCATAGGGAAGTGGCAAAATTCTCAAAGTGGGTTAATGATACTGTGCAAAGGCCTGATGGGTGGTCAGACTGCTAAGTCTGTCACTTGCTATGGAACCATGGAATTTTTTATCAGGAATACAAACCCAATGTTATTGCTTAGCTTTGGGGTAGGAAACTTCCAACCTGAATTCTCAGTAGTGCTGCCTTTTAAGAGAGATTTATTGCAAGTCCTTGTATGTGATGTTCCTGCAGAGTAATGGTAGAGCAACAGAAGTACCCTTTGATGTTTGATCTGTCTCTGGATATATGCATGCCTATGTGAATCAGGGGCTGTTACCTCTGCAAATTCACTGGGACTTTTCTTTAGGGAACCAAAAGTGAGGATGTCCTTGATGGTTACCTCGGTCTAGCATGGCTGCTAGACTCTTTGGCTTGCCTTGGCCACACTAAGTGAAGAGAAGTTGTCTTGGGCCACATATAAAAGATATGCAATAGTTAATGTATGTAAGTAACAAAACTTCTTATGTATATATATATTATTTAAATGTAAAAGAAGGCAACAAAACCATAAAACTAGTGGGTTGGACACGTATGATAGTGCATCATATGTCTGTAAGAACCACAGTTGGCTTTAGGATGACAGCCAGAGATAAATAAAGGAGGTATATGTAGAGAAAATGCAGCTGCCACTGCTGTGTTTTGATGGCAATTTCCACTGTAACTATAACCCTCCCTGGCCCTTCTACTTTGGTGCAAGAGCTTTGAAGCTCAGCTTCGCCCCTTGCCAGGCACAGCCTAGCATGCACGGACAGGACAACATGCAAGGCTAGAGATGGCTGTGGTGTTGTGGTCCAGTCATCTGCTGAGGACTGTCAAGGCTGTTTCCTCTCGGTGCACCAGAGCTGATGTTACCCAAGAGTGGGGTGCAGTTGTGCATGGCTGGACCTCTACTCAAGTCTTCATTCTTCAGTAAGCTGCCCTGGGGTTGCTGTGCTGCTCTGCTCTATTTATGTTCCTAGACAAGCAAAAGGAACAGCATGAATCCTTGTCCCCTTTCTTGACCTTTGCTGGACTGATCGGGGTTCTTGCAATGCATTGGCCTAGATTTGAGCAAGCTGGGCTTGACAAATGGCTTCATCCTAGCCCCGGTGAATAGATGTGCCTGCCAGTATTGCTGGCTAAAAGCTGCCCCTTGCAAGGGCTGTAGCGTTTGTCTGAGTGATCCAGCCTCCTGCCTGTGGTTGATGTCCCAGCTGCTGTCCTTTGACAGCCGGTACTTGTGCTTGCCCTGTCAGGGTCAGACTGGATAACTGCTATGGGGTTGGGATGATGTGGATCATTATGGGATGTTTTCAGCCTGAAGCACTTGTCTGCAGCTGAGATGGTATACACACCAGCCTTGGGCTGAGGACAGCTGCATGGCAGGAACTTGCAGTGCAATCTAGCATGCATTTTTGCTAGCAGTAGTGGAGAATCTGGAAGATAGCAGGGATGGGGGAGGGTCTTGCTCCCAGATGCCTGTGTTCTCAGAGCACGTCGTTAATATGATGTTAATTGATTCAGTAGCTCCAATTCCAAAGTGTCTCCCCGCTGAAATGCAGCCAGCTTTGGTGAAAGCCACTTCATGCAGCAGCAGCAGACAAGAAGGAAGGATGGTCTGTGTCAGCTCCAGAGCATGGTGGCTTTGTTTGGCAGTATGTACTGATGCTGCAACACAGGCAGGTAGGGGGGGAGTGCTGAGTGTAACAGCTCTGTCACTGTGCTCAGTGACGGCCTCCTCCATCTTCCCTTCTGTAGGGACATGATGCAGCCCTGGTAAGCCCTGCATCACAGACTGCTGATGGATGCTCATTCCTCAGGCTGGACAAAATCAGGTCGCTTCTATGTGTCTGCCTGCCTGCCTCTGCTCTTATCTCTTGAGCTGACTTGGAGAAAGCCAAGTGCATGAGGTTGGGAGCAGTGTGGGGGCCCCACAAAAATCTCTGGGCTCAGCAGAGGAGGATCAGGGCCTTGGGGACTCATCCCTGTGAGGGCGGTGACTGGGAGGAAGCTCCACAGATCCCTGTGTGTTTGTATGGCCTTCTCGGGGAGGAGCATGAGCTGTGGACTTCGAGCCTGCTCAGCTGCTCAACCCAGCCTGCTGTGCCCAGCTGCTGGCAGAGGATGGGACAGTAACTTCTGCTCAGCTCCTCCATCTGGCCTGCTGGCATAGGCAGTGTCTGCCTGAGGGGGTAGATGTAGAATGTGGGATTGAGGTGTGTGCGTAATGACACACGTGGCAGTAGCCTTGGCACTCCAGTGGCATCCCCTGGCCCACAGATGGGGAGCAAGGAGTGTGGGGCCTGTAGTCAGGGCGGTACTGCCCTGGGGTCTGGGGAAAGGTGAACTGTATGCAGGTGCTGTTGTTGGGGCATAGCCAGCATGAGCTGGCGTTATGACCTCACGGTGAGCCTGTGTGCAAAGCAGCATGTGGCTAGGCCATGATTGCCATGCAGTTATGGAGGGCAGAGTGGGCAGGGCTTGTAGCTGAAGCAGCCACACGCTCTGTGCTGCGTCCCAGCTCTGCTCCCAGTATAGAGAGACAGCCCAGCGAGAAAACCAGGCCGTGCAGGGCTGCAGCAACACTTTCCTAGTGGGCAGGACATAAGGAGTGTGGCCAGTGTGACAGCATCAGCACAAAAGCCCTTTCCCTTGTGAGGACAGTGGCAGAGAACTTGGCAAAGGGACACAGCATTACAGGAGTGGGCTGGAACTCCCTCTTTCTTTTTCTTCTAGCTCTTGTGCAAATCATCTTGGGGCGTCATTTTTTCCCAACCTAAATGCATTGTTGTTACCCTGGAGGTACTGATGCTCCCAGCTTACTGCATCGGGGCTGATGGGTGGCAGAAAGTCCTGTCCTTGTTGGTGAGGGCATGGGCCTGAGCCAACTGCAGTTTCTGGCCTAGCTGTTACAGATTGACAGTGTGAAAAGAGATGCTGTCATTGCTGTGTGTCACCTCATGTTGCTGTGCTGCTTGGGGACTCCATCCAAATGGAAGCGGAACAGCTTTTGTGCCCTGAGCAAGCTTTTGAGAAAGTTGCTGTGGATCTGTGTCACTCCTGTGGAGCCAAACCCTGTTCTTAGCATCTCCATGCAAGGCAAGCTCTGTAGGGTTATGCGCAGCTGATGTTTGCTTGTGGGAAGTGAAAGGGTTTCACTGCATCCATGTGAAGTGTGAAGTAAGTGAGCTGTGAGTCCCTTGATGAATGTTCAAGGGACTTTTGGTTTTGATTCATTTTATTTATGTTTATGGAGTGATTGAGTTTTGCATAAGCAGGTTATCCTGCCTGCTTTGCATTTGTCCTTGTGAGAGGATTGCCTGTGTGTGTGTGTTGAATGTACAAGTTAACTCTTGTAAAAAAAAGTCGGAAATATCCTTGTTGGGCTATAGGACTTTGCTTCCTCTTTCATGTAACTGTAGCACTCGTTGGGCTGCAGTTCTTCCCTGGGAACATGAAGGTTGTCTTTATTTTCTTCTTTTTTTCTTCTTCATATATATAGTTGCCATCTAAAAAGTGGCTCTGGAAATTCTGTTATAGGATCCAGTTCTGAGATCATTTCCTTTTAAAACTGCTCATTTTACTACGTGTGTGCCAAACCTGCCTCTCCATGGATGGGTGAGCCAGCCTGGCTCCTCATGTCGTGTGTCACTGCCTGGGATAAAGGTCCTGCCAACCAGATGTTGCCCTTGCTGCCACCAGTCAGGGATATCATCAGAGGGGCAGGTGACACAGAGGGACAGAAGACAATAATGTGGCACAGATGGCCCTGAAATGAGAACTTAGGTAGCAATTGGCTGTGCAAGCCAAGAGTCTATCTGTTTCACTTCTCAGAGGTACTGCAGTACTGCCCGTAGTAAATATTTGCTTTTATCACTCAAAATTGGCAGAGCTGGCTCTGAACACATGCAGCGAACAGACCTGCTGCTTTTGGAGGTACTGTTCTCACATTGGTCTCTTTGAGAGTAAAGCTGCATATAAAATAATCTGTAGCAGAAAATCGCCAGCAAGTGGATTTGTATGGAGTCTAAATGCAATGCTTAAGCAGTTCGGGCACTGTCTTGTGAAGAAACACTGCTGTCCATTTGTGTGCTTGTCATTGTTTCTGGGAAGATTATTATTTTTATTATTTCTAACCAAATCCAATTTCTTCTTTGCAGATTCTGAATTGTGCCTGCACAGAGTGCTGAGATCAGCCCCTGGAAGCAGCGTGAGTTTATCCTGAAAGCCTTTATTCTCCTTTCTAGATCCCGTGTAAGGCTGAGTAGTTTTTTTGTAGCATAGAATGGGTTGCAGTAGCTGATGGTTGAAGATCAGAGGTCATGCTGCAGTATGAAAGAGGCTTGTATGGTAGCTGGTTCTTTGCTAGAAACCCCCTTGTGATAACTGGAAATATGGCCTGCTACTGCTGAAATGCAGAACTGTTGTAACTTGGATTCCTATGACTTTCCTAATGTGTTGGGATTTTTTCTATTTTAGGCGTTAGGCAACAGCCCCTTTGCTAACAGAAGGGTTCCTACCAGCTGTCTGACTCTTTGCTTGCTGACAAAGATGTTTTGAGAGAATCGCACACTAAGTTTCCATGTGTTTTTTTTTTTTTGCCCAGTCTTCTCGAGAAGCTGGTGTGTTTGCAAACTGTAAAATGTGCCACTGAGTTTTGTGAAATGGGGATCTGAGGCCCAAGCATAGGTCCCAGGCATTCAGGAGGGACTGGGCATGGCTGTCATAAAGTGTGTCCCAGTGAGCCAGCTTGGAGTGGAAGATGAGAGAGGCTCAGAGATAGATCTGAGTTGCAGAATTATTTTTGAGACTCCTGAAAGAGTGGAGGCCTCATAGCTCAGGCCTTCTCCAAGAGGGCTTCAGGCCCCGTGGATTTGGCTCCTGCCCACCTAAAGCAGGAAATACTCAAGATGTGGGTAGGTGATCCACATCCTTGCTGAGAGCTGCAGGTGTGCTCCTTGGGGCTGGAGATGTCTCTGGCTCTGAGCAGAGCTGTTCATTAGTTTTCATGAGCTAAGAGACAATCCTTCTACAGAGCTTCTTTGAAGGTCCAGACCTACTCAAGATCTGGGGTGCATGTCTAAAGGGAAAGCAAGAAGGACAGAGTTTCAGTGTGCTGAAGAGCCATTTGGTTGTTGGAATTACTGGTTTTGGAACTGGAGGGGTAGAAGTGAGTGAGAAGGGATGTCCATGTGGCTCCCTGGCATTTCTCAGGGACAGCCTTAAATACAGAGCCAAAGCAGAAGGTGCTGTGCAGAGCAGACACGAACTGCTCAGGATGGGAAAGGAACACTATTCTCCTGAGGAAGAGAGGAAAAAGATTATCATAGCAATGAGGGAATGGCTCTGCAGGTGACGCCCAGCAGCCTTATCATACAGGCAGGGACTCACCTCTGAAGTGCAGGAGCAAATCTTCCTGACAGGCATCATGCAGCAGCCAAATGCTACCATGTCAGCCGTGGCTTATGAGCCTAGCACCCACCCCATTCCTGAAGGAAACTGAGGCACACGATAATACAGACTCACATGCAAACAAGCACTCAAGTTGGGACTGCATTTCTACCCCTCTCATTACAAAACTGATACTCCAACATCCAGACAGTCTCACAGCTTTACTGGGAGGAACTGCTCATAAAAACTAACTAGCTGCTCCAAGCCTGGGGGTGCCAGGAAAGGTGGACTGGATGGGGTGTTGGGGACGGGAAGGAGAAAAACCCCTCTGCTGCTTCTCTGCACTGGGTGCCACACCAGGAGCTGCAAGAGAGCCCTGTGGTGACTCCTGATACCCAGTGATGCCTTTGCTAGTAACCTTGGTGTCTTAGGTGCAGCAGGAGATTGGTGGCCCAGGTCTGGGTCTGCTATGTTTCTTGTTTCCCCCTTTTCAATTGTGCTTTGTTAACAGATGGCCTGGTTAGCTGTGCAGGGCATAGATCCACCAGTGGCTTGGAGAAAATGCACATTAAAGTAGAACAGATCTGCTGCTGCGCTCTTGTAGCAGCTCTGGTGAGACTTGCTCAGCCGTGTACTGGGGCAATAGCATGGAGCCCATGGGTCCCATCTACCTGACAAGTCTGGGCATGTGGAGCTGTGTTGGAGCAGGTGTGGCCCGACCTGCTGGTGTTCTTGTGTTGGAAAAGGCATCCCCACACTTCTGGGAGGGTTGGTGATGCTCCTGACTTGGCATGATTATCATCCTAGGAATAAGCCTCTAATTTCTGTGCATTTCTGCAGTTCCTTTGCAGCTGATCCTAACTCTTGAATATCACAAAGGGCTTACTGATGGATTTTGTCAGGCAGAGTGAAGAAGAAAAGCTTTCTTGGGTGCTTGCTGTAAGGGAATGGCCTTCCTCCTAAGAAGTAATGCACAAGATATGAGTTTGGTCCAGGTCTAAAGCAGTGGATACAGGGCTCTTTTGGAGATTCAGAACATAGAGTCACAGAATGGTTATGGTTGGAAGATATCTCTGGGTCCACCTAATCCCACTCTGCTCCAGCAGGGCCACCCAGAGCAGGGTACCCAGCGCCATGTCCAGGTAGCTTTTGAAGATGTCAAAGGAAGAGACTACCACCTCTCTGGGCAACCTGTGCCAGTGCTCTGTCACCCACGTGGTAAATAAGTGCTTCCAGACAGCCAGTCAGAAGGACTGAGACTATCCTCAAAGCAGAGCCCTCTATGCTGTCATGATGATCATCACAAGGATGATTTAACCCCATAATTTTGATTGCAGGCAGTTTATAGTGGCAGCCAATCACGGATGAGCATAGAGCAGCTGCTGAGTTCCCTTCTCAGTGCTCCAGGCAGGATCAGCTCCTTACTGCAAGAATTCCTGCTCAGGATGTTGCACTTCTCACCTTTTGCCTGTGCCTAGGTCTGCTTTCCAGAGTAGGCAGGAATTTGAAGCTGCTCTTTCTTCCCTAGTCTTTACCTCATGCAGTGATGGGATGCTGGCCAGGGCTGTGACTGCCATGTCCCCTGGAGTGCAGACTGTGGGAGCCTTCACTGCTGAGCATTGGTGCTGGGGCAGCACTGTGCCTGCTCCACCATCCTGGCTCAGGGCTGCTGGTGCATTTTCCTCTTGATTTGGGATCCATACTCTCTGGGATATGTGCCTTGGTCAATGAAGATTACTCTGTGTCATCCCAGCTGATTTCGTGTTGTCTGAGCAAATTGGTTTGTGCTATGTGGTAGTGTATGCCCTGAAGGCTGGTGAGAATGCTGCCAGTTCCCTCAAACTCATCTTGGGAAATGATGGCTCCTGGCCAAGCACTCTGCTTGCTTTGACTGATACTTCTCTTCTGTGTCATCTCAGTTAGGAGTCCAGCTTCCGCCCCGTTGCTATATATCTGGGGTGAACACCCACTGCCAATCTCTTTGTCTCTGCTCAGCTCTTGAAGGCTTCTCTAAGGCGTGTACTGGGTCTGTAATCTTTCCTCACCTTTGGGTGTACATTCAGTGAGGCCTGCTTGAGTGTCAGAAGCTGTGGCTTTCCTTTGAAGATGCAGCTTTGCTACTTGCCCCTGAAGTCTTGTCAGGTCTTGGGGTGACTGAGAGCTCTCAACTCCTGAGCTATATAATACTTTCATCACTGCCTTTGGCCACGAGTTTGAAAGGCTAGGGTGGGCTTCTGCCCTGCTGAACTGATGATCTCACCAGCACTGCACTGAAGGAAAGTACTTTCCATTCTTAAATCCCTCCAGAGGAGGACTCATCACCTGTGGCTGGAGTTTTGGCAGTGTGTTTAGCACAGCAGGACACGGGGATAAAACACTGTCATGTTTGGATCTGCAGGACTTGCTCCCAGGAATGGATACTACTAGAAAAGCAGGTTGCTGAAGCTGCTTGAAGTGAGGCCAGTGGGCTCTGAAGGAGTTGCTTGGGGCTGCTGTGCTTATCTGAGTTTTCTGGGCTGAGCTGCAGGCTTGCTGCAGACTGGGGATGCTGGGGCTCACCTGCATCCCACTACCTCCCCTCTGCCAGACTGGGAAATGCTCCTTCTGTAATAGTCAAGGGATTTTTGGGCTTTTCTCAGCCTTTCGGGAGGGTCCTTGGTGGGTTTGGAAAAGGCCTGTTCTCCATTGAGCTATATGGCACCCTGGTGCTCAGTTCTTGGTTTGTGTCCTTTGCTACCTACAGTAGCGACAGGATGCATGGTATGACAGTGGGGAAGCTGACAGTGCACTGGAGGTAGGTTGTGTTGTGGTGAGAAGTTTCAGAACCAGAGAGGTGGCCAAGCATGTGATTTGGAAAGAAACGTTGGCTTTCCTCCCCTGCTCCCCTCACACAAGGGCACTTGTCCTGTTCCTGCATGTGGTGGCCCAAGGGCTGTTCAGTGGAGCTGGTGCCATCCTCCTTGCCATGGACATACATCCATTGAGTAACTGCTGTGCAGGCCCTGCTTCTTCGAACCGAATGCCCAGGAGATGCAGTGGGCCCTTTGGGCAGGTAGTGCTTGTTCCTCACCGTGAGGTTATGATTAAACACTGCCTTTGGGATGAAGAGGGCAAGGGAGAGGGCTGCTGGCATCCTGTTACAGGTGCACGCTGCTGCCTCCAGTACAGGGCAGCTCAGCTGTGAGTGCCAGGGGGCTGTGTCTGGAGTTGCCACAGAAACAGAGAGTTCGGCCGCTGGGGAGATGGAGATGGTGCCGGCACCACAGGTGTGTGTGGGTGGTAAGAGGGGGTCATCACGGTCTGCCGTGTTGGTGACAGCCCGGGTACTGCTCCAAGAGCTGTCACAGAGGACACCACGAGCAGTGTGCGTGCCTACATCTTCCCACAGAAGATCTTGGAGTGCTGGTAACAGAAACCCCTGGAGGGTGACTCCCCAGCAGGCTGGGCCTGTTCTGCCAAGGGCTGATGGGTGTCCACAGGCCGCGGAGGCATCCTGCCAGCCAGGCTGGGCCGCATGGGGCAGAAGGGCTGGGCTAGACCTGGCTGAGGCTGCTTGTCTGCAGCTTGGGGCAATGCAGGTCCCCGGGGGAGCTGTTGTTGCCTTTGCTCCCCTTGTCTTCACTGCAGCGATGCCCGCCTGAGCTGAAGGATGAGAGGCCCGCCAGCGTGAGTCTGCTCTGTTTGGCACAAGCCACCCTCACAGTCCTGCTGCAGTGCCGGAATGCTGCTGTTCCTGGCAGCACGTTGTGCCTGGATTGCAAAAAGTATGTTCTGTGATTGGTTGTCCAGGGCGCTGGGTGCAGATGAGAGCTCGCCTTA